CAACAGGGAAGGACGCCGTACAACAGAAGCTGCACTTTCTACCATGCAACATCAATTATGACGGAAAAGCTAACATCGATAAATACTTTTTGGTGAACAAGTTAAAGGACGAAAGTTCGACCAATGAACGAGAAGAAAAGGGTATTGATTGATACTTGTAGAAAATATGGAATTCTAAATATTTAATTGCCTTCACGACTTAATACTTTAAATTGTAAAAGAACTCTACGAGACTTTTTTTCGTGGACGCCGTCTTATCGGAAAATTACACGAAATAAATGAAGAATATGAAGGTAAAATTAGAAATAAACTTTTTGAAACTTTTTTTTGCATTAACTAAAATTTTTGTAGGTTATATATTCAGAGAATCATCATCATATGTAATCAAAAGGGGCGAACTACCAACATCAGTCGAGGAAATGGAAGAACCGACGCGTAACTGGAATACAATTTACAAGTTTAATTCCTTTATGGTCTGGGAACACGATGAAATTCCCGATTCATCAAATAATGAAATTGTAAAGTCCTTGGATTGGTTGAATATTTCCAAAATAGTGAGTGGTTTTTCTTTAATTAACATTCTCAATTTTCATTATGAATTTCTAATATACCAATTATGCAAAATAAATTTCTAAATTAGATTCACAAACCAACTGCACCAGAGGCTTAGTTTGATCTATGATCTACCATCGATCCCGATAAAATCTAATACATACGAAAGATGCATTCAAACAATTATTAAACTAAGAAAATCATTAACATGTGAAAATTTAATAAAAAAATAAAGCTAACGTTAACCAAATATACTTTTATATGATAAAAACTAGAACAAATTCGGGTTTCCACTTTTCATTCCAAATATATTATCCACAATAATAATTCAAATAGGGAAAGTAATTTCGTGACGTTCCGCTACAATGAATTTTATAGCGGGAATATCTCAATATTGTACTTATTAATTCTCATAATTCCAAGCACATAACTCCTCCAGCCGGAGTACCACCAGGAGAACCATTAAAAGCTCAACGGTAAATTAATAATTTTGGATATCAGGAGCATGAGAGCCTGAATCCTGTTGATTTGCAGTAAATTGACCCTGCAATAAGGACTTCATTATTCATACATGCAATTGCTTGTTCCGAGCAAGTTTTAAGAAAGAGGTTCTGTTCACTATTGTTCCACGAGATATAGATGTCATCAATCAAACGAGTGTTAACGGGGAGCTTTCGTTCAGTTTTGCAAGATTAATGAGTAAAATATAAGTGCATTTTTTAATTGATTTACAGTATTGAAGAAAGTAAAATGTATTTAAAATTAAAAGGTTAATTTATTGGATTGCAAAGTTTTGTGTATTATAACAATATTTTTGTTAAGATTGTATACTGTACCTTGAAAATTTTCTTTTAAATATTCATTTTACGGTATTTTACAAAAAATTTTTTTTTATTCGATTAAATATATTGATTCAAATATTATATCTCTAATTTTCGAAGAATTCATATAATACAAAAAAAATATGTATTTAATCTTATAAAGTAAATGTACAATAAATATTATTGATTGTAACTTGAATTATTATTTTTTTTTATGATAATGATTTATAAAAAATATTTTTTGATTTTTTTTTAATTACTGTATATAAAAAAATAAGTGACAAATATTTTTTGTAATGTTATTTTTTTTAAATGATAATGATAAATTTTTTTTAAAAAAATTTTGATTAATTATTGAATTTGATTATTTGATTATATAATAATAAATTGTGGAATTTATATTTGTAAAATAATAATAATAATAATAATAATAATAATAAAATAAATAAATAAATCATGTTTTTTGATCCTCAATCAAGCTGGTATTATCTGTTTATTAAATCAAAACACACAAACAAACAAACAATTAATAATTTATATACTGTAATCTTAATATCATTAAAACTTATTTTTTCTAAACTTAATTTATAAATTTGAAAAAAATAAATTTTTTTTCCAATATAATTAACGATGAATAAGGATTAATAAAACTATAATTAACTTACTTTCTTTAAAATATTATCCATGTATTTATTTGATAAAGAAAAAAAAATTTCAATAAATGATTAGAAATTAATGGTGATAATTGATAAATGGTAATTAAAACCGAGAATTAATTTTGAACAAATTTACCTGATTTATTTAAAAAAAATATCAACATTTCATTACTATAAAAAATTATTTTTATTTAGTTGTAAAATTATATACTACTGTATTAAAATTTAATATTGTTATATAGGTCTGTAATAAATTAATAGATTTCAATTATTTTTATACTGTATTTACAGTATATTAAGATATTATCGATCATAAATTGGCACAAGTGTGAAAATCATTTAATTTAACCTTGGAAAAATCTCCATTCTTTCATTAGACTCTAACAACCAGTATGCATCTTGCCATAACTTATTTTTGCTGTTAGGCCAATTCCTGTAAAATGTAAAAAAAAAAAAATCGATCACTCATGTTGTTACGACATCGTCATTACTCGCATGAGATTATCATAGAATGATTATACTTTAGGGAATACATTACAAAGTAATTTAATTACACGTTTTTCGTACGCTTGAGACTACTAGCGCACGGCCGCTATGACATTAAAATAAAAATTAAACAAGTTAATTAAAATGTTCGTGCATCCTCTTCTAAATTCTAGATCTCTGAAAACCTTTAACAATTCCTAACGATATACAACTGTAGTTGCAAAGTTTCGACGCCTGATTCTTCAACAAATCGGCGATTCTTGTGTTTCTGGTCCTCTATGTTACAAGTAGCACATTCTTCAAATTCAAATGCAATCGAAGATTTGTCTATCATGACTTTTTAAATTGATATTCACATTAAAAAGTAGAAAATTTATAGCATTTAAAAGCCACAGTAATATTACAAAACCTGCAGAAGCAAAGTCAAGAGATAAAGCTGCGTACTGAAGGAAGTGTCACATAATTTTTTGCAAAGTAATTTAATACTGTATTAACCCGTCTAATTATCAGACGTGGCCATGTGTACTTTATAACTGAGGCGACCGTAGAAATTACGCTTGCTTGGTCGATAGCAGTTAAATTGGATTTATTAAGTGACGTTGTAAATACGAGTTTATTTATATTATAATTTAAAATACAAAATAAATACATTTGACTGCTAATAATTTCGAAACGACCGACTTAAGCTTGATCATTTTCGTTAAAGTAAACTTCCGAATCTTCAGTGGCACCTCTTTGCTTTAAAAGGTGTATATTCATCGAATTTAAACCCTTCGCGTTTTGAATATTTGCTTTTGAAATCCATAATATATTTTGAAATGAAGTCCAATGTAAGGTGACTTGTAATTTTTGATCGTTTATTCTTTTTACATGCCACAAACGAATAACATTATCCTCACCACCCGTTAATAGAAGGTCTCCCACTTTTGTATTCTTCCAATCAAGATCATTACTTACTCCGGGAAGGTATATAATGGCTACGCATTTATCAGATGCCATAGACCAAAGCCGCACCGTCAAATCATTACTGGCCGATGCCAGTAGGGTGCCATCAGGCGAGAATGTCACACTAGAAACGGTGCTAGTATGTCCTTCTAGAATGCGTGAGTTCTTATCTACATTCTCGAGAGACCACAGCCGCACCATGTCGTCATCGCCTCCCGATGCCAGTAAGGTGCCATCAGGCGAGAATGTCACACTCCAAGCGGTGTAAGGATGTTCGAAAATGCGTGGATCCTGATCTAAATTCTCGAGAGACCACAGACGCACCGTATTGCCTGAGCTGCCCGATGCCAGTTGGGTGCCATCGGGTGAGAAGGTCACACTCCAAACGGTGTTAGGATGTTCTAGAATGCGTGGATTCTGATCTAAATTCTCGAGAGACCACAGTCGCACCGTATCATCTAAGCAACCCGATGCCAGTTGGGTACCATCAGGTGAGAAGGCCACACTCCAAACGGCGTTAGTAGGTCCTTCTAGAATGCGTGGATTGTTATCTACACTCTCGAGTGACCACAGTCGCACCGTATTGCGTGAGCTGCCCGATGCCAGTTGGGTGCCATCAGGTGAGAAGGCCACACCTCGAGCACTACCATTATTGTTTCTTAGAATGCGTGGAATCTGATCTAAATTCTCGAGAGACCATAGCCGCACCGTCCTGTCTTTGCTGCACGATGCCAGTTTGGTGCCATCAGGTGAGAGGGTCACACTCAAAACGGCGTCAGTATGTCCTATAATGCGTGGATTCTGATCTAAATTCTCGAGAGACCACAGATGCACTGTATTATCTGAGCTGCCCGATGCCAGTTGGGTGCCATCAGGTGAGAAGGTCACACTTAAAACAGTGTTGGCATGTCCTTCTAGAATGCGTGGATTTTGATCTAAATTCTCGAGAGACCACAGCCGCACCATATTGTCATCACCTCCTGACGCCAGTTGGGTGCCATCAGGTGAGAAGGTCACACTATAAACGGGTTGAATATGTTCTAGAATGCGTGGATTTTGATCTAAATCCTCGAGAGACCAAAGTCGCACCGTATGATCAAAGCTACCCGATGCCAGTAGGGTGCCATCAGGTGAGAAGGCCAAACTCATTATAAAAGTAAAGTGTCCTTCTAGAATGCATGGATTCTGATCTAAATTTTTGAGAGACCACAGCCGCACCGTATTGTCATCGCTTCCCGTTGCCAGTTGGGTGCCATCAGGTGAGAAAGCTACACTAAAAACGGCGCGAGTATGTCCTAGAATGCGTGGATTTTGATCTAAATTCTCGAGAGACCAGAGTCGCACCGTATCATCAAAGCTACCCGATGCCAGTTGAGTGCCATCAGGTGAGAAGGTCACACTCCAAACGGCGTTAGTATGTTCTAGAATGCGTGGATTCTGATCTAAATTCTCGATAGACCACAGCCGTGCCGTCTTGTCATCGCTTCCCGATGCCAGGTGGGCGCCATCAGGTGAGAAGGTCACACTTCTAACGTTATCATTATGTCCTTTGAAAGAATGTATCTTTTCTAACGTTTTGACATTACAAAGAAAAATTTTCTTTCCACTAGCAACGGCAAGAAAACGTTCGTCTGGGGAATAGCAGCAGCAATAACATTCATTCTCAAGATCTAAAAAAGGAAATTCACCGAATTGCACGCCTGTCATATTAGCCTCACTAAAATTTGCATACTGCAACCATGCCCTTTGAAAATCAACATTACTTAAATCTGCTCCTTTAAATTGAGTACAATGAAACAAGCCGTAACTTAAATTTGCACCGGAAATTCGAATCCCATTTAGATTCTTGCGACTAAATGATATTCCGGCTTTATTTAAAATTGTGATTGCATTTGCTGCGGCGATTTCGAAATTAGTATCTTCCTTCGATCTTTCAATAAAGTCAATAAGATTCTTCCTGAATTTATCAGTCTGTTGTGCATACTCGGTTAGAAAGCGAACAACCCCGGGATCACGTAGTATTGAATTTTCTTTAAATAATATGGAACTAGCTTCTTTGCAAATTGCTTCATAAATTGCTCGAGCAACAAAATATTCGAATATTGATTTGTGGATATATCGATATTGATCACCATTGCGGCTTAGTGGAGAGTTGTAGCGTAAAAGTCGTGTCTCTGGATTTCTATATCCAAAGAATTCAGAACGCCAGTTTTTATCATCTGTGTCTGAATACTCTACTACTACTTCATTGGCCTTAAACATTTCAACAGCCAAATCCTTGTTAAATCTTATACAACGTTTCAGAAATCCACCCTCATCTAATATTTCAAAGGCATTATTTTCACTCTCCTTTAGTTGAATGTGCTCTAGACGTTCTTTAGATCGCTCAAACCATTTCTCCACAAAAACATTGTATAAGGTTAAACGGGTTATATTTTTCTCCGATTTCTTGTAGTCCATCAAATTAGGCACGACTTGCAAGGAAATTTTCAAAATAAAAGGGTTGCTTAATAAACGCTCATAATGAGATATATGCTTCAGGATGGTTTCGTAATGTTGCATATTCCA